AAACACTCCTCTGAATTAGGTTAAGTGCAGGAAGAGCCCAAATCAGTAGGGTTCTTCTTTTTTAATTGTGAGTTTACAAGGAAATTTTTCATTAGTGGAAGAAGCTATTATGTAAATTCTGTTCTAGCTTGCAGATTTTGGTAAGGATATTAACAAGTTAGAATATATCCAGAGGAGGGTGACTAGGGTGATTAGGGACCTGGAGACCGTGCTATGTCATAGTTACAAAATTAGATATGTTTTGCCTGGATCAATCAACAATAATTATGGGGGGATGGGGGGCTAGGTAATGGAGCTAAGTGACTTGCTCAAGGTCACACAGCTAGTGAGTGTTAAGTGCCTGACTCCAGGGCCAGTGCTTTATCCACTGCACCACCTAGCTGCCCCAACAGTAATTTATTCAGTGGCTCCTATGTGCCAGGCACAGTGATGCCTAAGAGAAGACTTGGGAGGGATGTGATCCTCTCATCAAGTTTTGAGGGTCTGTTATGGGGAAGAAGGGTCAGACTTTTTTACTTACCTCCAAAGAACAAAACAATTAGAGAGATCCAACAATGGAATGGACTTCTTTGAGAGGTTGTGAACCACCTGTTACTGGTGGTCTTCTAGGGGAGGTTAGATGACCACTTGTCAACCAGTTGTTTGGGATTCTTTGCTGCAGGTAAAGGTGGAATTGAATAACCTCTTACATTTCTTTGAATTCAGGAACTATAATTCCATCAGTTTGCCTTCCTTACAACTTATTTTTTTCAAATCAGAAATTTCTCAAGGGGCCTCCTCTTATCATCCAGGATTTCCCCACTAGCCAATGCTGCACGCCTTCTTCATATCTGTGCCTTTGAAAATCTTTTCCTTACAACCTAAATGAGAACAATATGACTCCAAACCTGTAAGTTCAATATTTCCTTCTCTTGCATTCTGCAAGTCCCAGGAAGCAATTTTAGTGAGCCAAGCCATTTTGCTGCATTAGGAAAACTGCTTTCCATTATGATGAGCCATTTGGACAGAAAGGAAATTTGGATAAATAGGACCAAAGAATTTAGAACTGGAAGGGATCTTAGAAACCATCTGGCCCAAATCTTGCCTTTTACCAATGAGGGAACAGACACGGAGAAGGTAAGGTATTATCTAAGGTTGCTGAGGTGCTAAGATTTGAATCCAGGTCTTCTCTGCTGTGCTTTATTTATTTATTTATTTATTTATTTTGCCCTCTACTAGGAAAATCATTTTAAAATAGCAACCAATGACGGTAGGATTTCCAAAATGAAGAAGTAGGCAAAGAAACTCAATGTGAATTTCTGTCCTCCATGGCTTAAGAATTCACACACATAATGGGAGAGACCTGACAGCAACAAATCCAGAGCCACAGACTTATGAGCTTTAATAGCTGAGAGGCTTCAGGGTGCTAAAAACTGATTCCTTCTTAGGGTAAATTAATAATAGCCTTGGAGGAAGTGATAATTCTGCTGTAGTTGGTCACTCAATAAGCATTTATTAAGCATCAACTATATGGCAAGTTCCATTGTGCTAAGGGCTGGGGATACAAAGAAAGGCAAAAGACAGTCCCTGCCCTCAAGAAGCTCACAGTCTAATGGGGGAAATAACATGGAAATAACTCTATACAAATAAGCTTTATGCTGGACCAATTAGAAATGATCAACAGAGGGAAAGCACTAGAATTAAGGTTGGGGGAGTGGTGCTCAGGAAAGACTTCTCATGGAAAATGGCTTTTTTTTTTTTTTTTTTTTTTTTTTGGTGAGGCAGTTGGGCTTAAGTGACTTGCCTAGAGTCACAACTAGTGAGCATTGTGTGTCTGAGGCTGGATTTGAACTCTGGTCCTTCTAACTGCAGGGCCAGTGCTCTATCCACAGCACCACCTAGCTGCCCCCAAAACAGCTTGCACAAAGTAGTTGGTTTGTTTTTCTAAACTGTCTTCCCTCTCTCTTTCTTTTATTCTTTGGTGTAAGGGGTGCCTCAATGGGTAGGAAAAATGGTAGGTATCTATTTAGAAATGATGATAACATAGAATAAGAAGATCGAACAATCATCTTTTTCTTTTTATAATCACTGCATCCATGTGTACCTTTGTTCCTACAGCTCCTATAGCATTGACTGTTGTGTCATTTTTTCATCTTTGCCCAGTCTGTATTGTGTGAAGTGGAGTTAGGGAATTGTTTTGATTTTCGTTTTTCTTACTATTAGTGATTTGGGGCATGTTTTCATGTGGTCATTTATAGTTTGCAGATCTTCCTTTGAATACTTACTGTTTGTTCATGTTTCTTTTGGCCACTTATAGGATGATTAACAACTCAACAGGCAGAGGGGCAGCAGAGGGCATTCCAGGCAACTGATCAATAAACAAATGTTTATGGATTAATAATTAAGCAACTACTTTGTGCCAGGCACTGTGCTAAGCACCAGGGATGTAAAAAGAGGCAAAAGATCCCTGCCCTCAAGGAGCTTGTAGTCTAATAGAGAAGACAACATGCAAACAAATATATACAAAATAAGCCATGTACCAGAAAAATAGGAAGTAATTAGCAAAAGGAAGGCACTAGAGTAAAAAGGGGTTGGGAAAGACTTCCTATAAAAGATGGAATTTTAGTTGGAACTTACAGAAAACCAGGAAAATTATGTAGATTGGAATGAGCAGTGGGATGGACATAGGAAACTGCAGGACATATATGAGGACAACATGTAGTTCAGTATGGCTGGTGTTACTTGTGAAAAGTAGGAGATGAGACTTAAAATGTAAGAAGACACAGATTAATACTAATAATTTTTTATTCTAAATCTTTCAATTCCAAGTCAGAGGTAGGCATATTAATGAAACTTTTTATGAGAAGTCAGAAGCATCTCCTTTGCCAACTTAATAGAGAATGTCAGAATTTGAACGCATGAGCATGGATTGGTGGAGAGACCAGTGAACTGAGAAATGGAGACATGGGTTTAATTTCCACTTCCACCTACCTAGTTGTATAACTTTGAGGCGGTCATTCCTCCCTCCAAGTCTGTTTTCTTACCAGTAAAATGAAGGGGTCAGAGAAAATAACTCTGACATTTTGTATTCAAAGAGCCTTTCCAGATCTGACATGCTGTATTATATGTTCTAAACTCTGACATTCTGCATATGGTTTTCTAACATTTTAACAGTGATGAGGAAATTGCATTTCCCATATGATTTTGTCACTAATATGAAGACCTGCAATTAATACAATAAGCAAGTATTGCTTCCTGCAGTTTACTTAAATGGAAATATTTTCTCTTTGATTTGTGACATAAGCTCCTAGACAGAAACAGTGATAGTATCTTTGAATGCACGGTCAGTACTAAAAAATTGAGTTCATAGTAACATGTTCTTGGTCTTACATGTTCTAAATATGTATAATGTTCCTTGTGTCATTTAGAATTTTAAAATCACACAAACTTTTCTTCATGTGCCTGTATTCCTCAGTAGTAGCTTGAAATCTAGTCACTAAATACAAGTAATTAATATTAATTTAATTCAAACCGTGATGAACACCTAATGTGTGCAGAACATTGTGCTAGGTTTTGTGGGAGATAGTTGACTTCAGACATGTCCTTATGCAACTCAGTCTAACAGGAGGATGTGAAACACTTCTAGATCATTTTAACATTCAGTCAACACAGAAAAGGATAAGCAAAATGCTGTTGAAAGGCCTAAGAAAGGAAAGATAACTTCATCGGGAAAGACTTAATGAAATCTTGGTAGTGACATCTGAGCTGGGCTTTGAATGCCAATAGCTAGAAATATGGGCAAGGAATGAATTCCAGTCACAGACATCAGTGTGAACAAAGACACAAAGGTTTTAAAAAATTAAGGTGAGAGTCATGCAATGACTACAACATTGTAAAGGAAAATAACTGTGAAGACTTAAGACTTTGATCAATATCATGACCACTGATGATTCCAAAAGACCCACCTTTTACCTGAGAAGTGACTAGAAGTGCAGAATGAAACATGCACTTTCAGACAAGGTCAATGTGTTGCTCTGTTTTGCTTGACTATTTGTTATGGGGGAGAGACTTTTTTTTCCAGGAGAGGTTATTGGGGAGTATATGGGAAGGTTATTATAGTGATATAAAAAAGACATCAATTTAAAAAATTTTAAAATAAACAGAAGGGTGCAAAAGAAGGTTCCAAAGACATAGACAAGTGGAGTAGTGTTGGCAATACTGTGTTAAATTTAATACGTACTTTAAAAAATATCTGTACATGCAGATTCATAGTCACACAATTCTCTTCTTCTGTTTTTCGTTTTGTAAGGAAATATTCACGTTTGTCAAGTTCCTAATTAAAAAAAGTAGGGAACGTGTTTGAGGGCATGGGAATCATTCAGTTTGACTGGAGCAGGGGTCCTTAACCAGGGGTCCATTGACAATCTGTGGGTGGATCTTAGGGGTTCTGTGAACTTGAATGGGAAAAAAATCTTTATTTTCATTAACCTTTGGTTTCCTTTGTATTCTTATGTATTTTATTTTATACATTTTTTAAAAAGTATTCTGAAAAGGGGTTTACAGTCTTCATTAGACTTTCTATGGGGCCTAGGACATAAAAAAGGTGGCAAACCCCTGGAGTAGCATGTCCCATCAGTGGAAGGAAATAGAGCGAGCCAAGTTTGCAAAGTAATTTGTAATCTGGTTTGGCTAGGGTGTGGGGCACCTAAAGGTGATAGCTGTAAAATGGGGCTGGGAAAATTAGCTGTAGATGGCCTTGAATGCCCTATAAGGATATTGGGGTTTTTTTTAACTAGGCCAAGTGGAGGTATTCAGCAGTTTGATATAGAACAGTGATAAGATCAGACTTGGGAATTAGAGGAAGATAAATATTTGTGGGCCTGATTTTTGTTAGCAAAACAGTGTGTTAGATACACTGGAGGCTGGGAGAGAGTGAAGGTCCCAAGCCGTTTGAAAGGTAGCCAAGGTGGCTGGCACTAACGTGTTCCATCAATGCTTAATGTAATGATTTGCATTTTCAGGGCCAGGCTGTTGCTCAGCTCTGCTCAACTATCCCCAACGTCACAGTCTTTGGAACTGCTTCTTCCTTCAAGCATGAAGCCATCAAAGATTCAGTCACCCACCTCTTTGACAGAAATGCTGACTACGTGCAGGAGGTTAAAAGGTAGGATGTTAACCCACAAAGCTGACCATTCTAATGGAACCATGAAAATCACAGGGGGATGACTCCAATTTGGGATATTTTGAACTTGTCGTTTCTTTAGCTGTTTCGGGAATCATCTGCAATACACATTGCTTCTAGACCTTTTCCTGTCTGGTCTTTCCTTCCAATGCATTCTACGTACCATTGCTTTTTGTTCTGAAACTCATCACTGGCTCTCCATTGCTTGTCAAATAAATCTACACTCTCCAAACTGGCACTCAAGACCCTCCACCATCTGGTACCACCCTGCCTCCCCAGCCTGATCTCACACTGATTCCCTTTATGTCCTTTATGCTCAGCTAAACAGAATGATTGTCCTTCTCATGAACATGTCCCAGTCTTTCCCATCTCTGTGCTTTTGCCTCTACTCTTTTCTATATCTGGAGGGCTTCTTATTTTCTAATCCCCTATATCTTTACCTGTTGATGCTCCCCCTCTTTCCTTCAAATTCTAGCTTAAATGCCACTTCTAAGAAGACTCCCCTGATCTATTCATCTGTAAATTGGATCTTCTAGTACTTTAACTCATGCAGTTATCATATCCTAATGTGTTTTATAATCATCTCTGTCAGTGTCTTATCACCCGTACTAGACTGGAAGCTTTTTGGAGATATGGATGGTATTTCCCTCATCTTTGCACTTCCCCTAGATCCGAGCACAACCCTCTGCACATACTTGAGTGTTTCAAAAGATCTTTAATTTTCTCTGTGTCTGCATCTTCTGCTAGTGAAGATTGTGATCTCTTGTGCTTTAGTAGATAGTTCTTATGCGTTGCTATGATGAAAAATTCATCTTCTGGCAGCCCACTTTCTGGTGATGAGCCTTTCCACTCCTAGCTAGTCTGATCTTTGAACAATGTGCCTTTACTCAACTCCTTTCCATTCTGGTAGGGACTACCAGAGTTTTGCTCTACTGGCATTACTTTTAAGAGCAGGGTCCCCTTCATGCCATGAAAAGAAATCATAGGGATGCCTTTAGTGATGCTTAATAAATTTTGGATGAATGAACCCTTCGGAAATTAATACCATACTTAATTAGAATCTTCCAGGCTGTAGCTGATTAATGATAACAGCTGATCATATCTTCACTTTTAAGTAGTGGAGTGACATGATCAGGTCAGTGTTTAAGAATGATTAAACATCTGGCAGTTTGTACAGGTTTTTTTTGGGGGGGGGGTGTCAGGAATGTCTGAAGTGCGTAGGCCCCAGAGAGGAGCCTGTTACAGAGATCTGGTTGTGAGGAGATGATGACAGGGATCAGGGTGAGGATGGAGAGGAGGGAACAGATACAAAAGACACTTTGGAGGTAGAATTTATAAGGTTTGGGAATGCAGTGAATATGGAAAACAAAACAGTGAGAAAAGAGTCATTTGTTGGGGAGTATGATGAGGTCAGTTTGGAGCATGTTAAATCTGAGGAATCAAGGAGATAGCTAAGTGTGAGCTCCTTGCATCCAGAAATGAGATCCTGGCTTATTTGTATCTTCTCTAGAACTGACTAAACATTTTCTGTGTTTAGTCTTTATAGATGGATGAAATGTCCCCCAGCCTTTGTAGATTGGGGACTGGAGCTCTGGAGGGAGACTGAGGCTGGAGATTTCATTTTGAGAGTCATCACCATAGTCAGCACTGGGTGATGGTAGGAGCCTTGAGACTAGATGAGCTCACTGAGCAAGAATGGGTTTACAGGAGCAAAGCAGAGAACCAGAAACCAAGCTTGAACTGAAAGATGTAAGAAAAAGAAATGAATTCCTGAGTAAAGGGGCCAGGAGTCTTTTAGTGACAGTTTTATTGAAGAGTAATTACTACTCAGGGCAATTTACAATAGAACATTTTCCAGAAATCTTTCAAAATGATGGTGGTAAGGCATTAGAAAAGGAGGGAAAGGGAGAAAGACTGAAAAAGAAAGGAGAAGGGGGAAGGGAAAAGAAAAGAGAGAAGGAAGAGGAGAGAGAGCCTAGAGAAAAGAAGAAAAAAATAAAAGAAAAGAGCTGGAGGGAGAGTCAAGAGCAGAGAAATCTACAACTCCCCAGCATCTTAGAATTAAAGGACTGTGTGCATTTCATGTCAGTGTTTTTTAAATGCCAGATACTCTAGCCTTGCACTCACAAAGACTAAATTCAATGTATCCCAATTCAACAACCATTCTTTAAGTGCCTTGTGTTCAGTCCTGGGAACAATAGGGAACCACCGACGTTTCTTTAGCAGACTCAAAGAACTGGTGTTAGGAATATCAGTCTGGTAGCTGTATAGACGATGAGTTGGAGGGAGCGGCCCCTGGGTGTAGGGAGACTAGTTAGAAACTGTTGCAATAAACAAGGTGAAAAATGACCAGGGCATAAATTTGGGTGGGATGTATGTGAGTGGAGAGAAGGAGATGGATGAATGCAAACTATGTTGTGGAGAGAGAATCAACCAGACTTAGCAAATGATTGGATACAGGTGGAAAGAGGAGTTTTCTACCTCTGGAAAAGGATGGCATCAAACATCCTCTACGTCCAGCTGAGATGGTTTCCAAGGGAACATTGATTCTCTGCATTGCCTAAGTGGCTTCTGATATGAGACTGGCTTCGTGCTTTCCATTCACAATTAGACAGTGCACAGCTCATCTTGACCAAGACAATGAAATGGTTCTTATCCTGGTATGGGGACGGACTTCCAGGTGGCCCATGGGATAATCCTAGTCAAAGTCCAGCTCCTCAAACTCATAGATTAAACCCATCAGGCTTCAAGCTGAAATCAGACACATTCTGCCTGCAAGGAGCTTATGACCTAGGTGAGATCAGTTTGGGGCATGTTAGAGATACACCTGGGGAGATAAGACCCAAACAAGACTATGATAAGGAAGTGTCCAACATAGCTATAAGATCATTGTAAGCAGGATTCTCAAGGAAGGTGATCTTCTACAGGAGATGGGCTTTGAAGGAAGGGAAGGATTTCAATAAAAGGAGATGAGGGTGGGTGAGACCATTGTAGGTGTGGAGGAAGACATAAAAATGAGAGGAGCCAAGATGAAGAGTAGGCCAATTTAGCTGGAATGTACACTGTGGGAGGGGACAAAGGGTGAGATTAAGGCTTAGAGTGGAACTATAGTATAAAAATAATTTCTCAGCAAGGGGCTGTTTTTCCAGTTGTCACCTATACATCTGTTCATTGTTTCTTGAAGTATGAGAAAGAAGGGACCATAAAATGTTCCCCCAGGCTCAGCCACTAGATAATTGCACTGCAGGTATGAAGGACACCCAGGTAGTCCTTGATTTAGGGGATTAGGAAATTGGGACGTTATCTGTTCAAGGTTTTCATTTCCAAGAAAGGCCCCACTGTTTAACATAATCACTTAATTAAAGAGAGCTGCTGATGTGTTTACAGCTGTGCTATTAGCTGAGATCAGGTATTTTGGTACAGGATGATTTATAACAGACCCAAACAATGGAATTTGGTTTTGCCTTCTCAATAATTAGGCTGTAAGCAGAAGGTCTGATTATTGCTAAATATTTTGCTGTTTTGAAGTTTGTGCCTAAGGAAATATTACATTAGAAAAAGGAATCTGCTATTCATGGAATAGCAGAATCTCAGAGCTAGAAAGGACCTCAGGAAGCATCTAATCCAACTCATAGCTGGAGCAGAAATCCTCTCCGCAGTTTTCCCGATGTGTGGTTGTCCTGTTTCCATATGAAGATCTCCAGTGGTGGGGAATCCATTGCTTCTAGAAGCAACCCATTCCACTCTAGCATATCTTTAATTGCTAGGAAGCCCTTTCCCCCTCCCCTACCTCCCACCCCTCACTCCTACGTGTCCCTAGATCTACCTTTTGGACCTAAGCAGAACAGGTCAATTTCCTCTTCTATGTGAAAGCCCTTTGAATGTAAGGCCATGGCAGTCAGAGTTCCCCTGTTCTTTTCTTCCTACTCTCCATTCTACTTCTGGATTCTTTCTCTCTCTGCCTCTCCTTCCTTTCCTGTTACTCCCCCTGCCCTTTCTTTCCATCTCTCCTCTCTTTTCCTCCCTCCCCCTTTTCTCATTCTCGCTCTCCGTCCTCCTCCCACCCCACCATGCCTTTGAGAAAAGGTGAAATGCAAGTAACTTGTATGAAGCACCTCCTGCACCAGGCACTTCAAGACACCTGCAATCTCAGTAGGAGATTGATTTTGCTCCCCCTCCCATCAGGATTATAAAGTGTTAAAGGGCATAGAATGTACACACAAGTAGCCGCAGAACATAGCACAGGATGATTGCATTGTATGTATCATGTGCAGATGTATACAGACCTACAAAGTAAATGAATTTTAGAATTGAAAGGGACGTCAGGGGCCATCTGGTCCAACAGCCATCTCCCAAAAGACATCAATCCTGCCAACTGATTGTGAAGCCTTTGCTTGAATATCTCCAATAAAGGAGGAGTGCTTACCTTAGGAGATAGCCTATTCCTTTTGGATAGTTGTAACTGTTAGAAAGCTGTCAAGCTCAACCTTGGCTCTTTTCAGTTTTCACCAATTGTTCCTCATTCTGCCTTCAAATCAAAACCATTCCAACCCCCCTTAGCAGGACAACCCTTCAGATATTTCTAAATAACCGTCATGTCCCTCTGGACAGCTAGGTGGCACAGTGGATAGAGCACTGGGCCTGGAGTCAGAAAGACTCATCTTCCTGAGTTCAAATCTGGCATCAGAAACGTATTATCCTTGTGACCCTGGGCAAGTCACTTAACCCTGTTTGCATTAGTCCCTCCTCTGTAAAATGAGCTGGAGAAGGAAATGGCAAACCGCTGCAGTACCTTTGCCAAAAAAACCCCAAATGGGGCCATGGAGAGTTAGATATGACCAAAAATCTACTGAACAACAACAAGAACAATCATGTTCCTCCAGGCCTTTTCTATGTCAAGCTAAACATCTCTGATCCCTTCAGCCAATCATTATATGGCATGAATTCAAGGCCCTGTGCCATCCTAAACACTCTTCCAACTTATCAACTACCTTCCTCAAATGTGGTACACGGGATAGCATCCTATTCCAGTGCCATCTTACCTGAGCAAACTGCCATCTCCCACCTCCTTATTCCTGAACCCTATGCCACACTAAATGTTGGCAAAGATTGAATTGGCTTTCTTGGTGGGCATATCATATCCTTGACCCATGGAGCTTGCAGGCCACTAAAACCGAAGTATTTTTCAAATGAGTAATTGTCTAGCCATACCATCCCAATCTCACGCATGCAGACTTGATTTTATGAACCCAAGGGTACATTTACATTTATTGCTTTTAAATTCTTTTCTGGATCACAAGATCATAATTAGACCCTGAAGGAACCTTAGAGGCCTCAAGTCCAACTCACTTATTTTACACATGAGGAAACTGAGACTGAGAAGTTAAGTCACTTGCTCAGGTTCACACAGTTATTAAGTGACTAAGGCAGGATTTGAACCTTACTCCAAGTCCAGTCTCTCCACTGTGCCAATTAGCTGCCTTAACTATCACCTCAGTAAAATGTTCTAGATTATTGCCAGGAACCATAGTCAAGTTCACTGTCCTACAGATTGTACACTCCCATTTTTTTTTCCTCCTTTTCAAAAATTGGGACAATATGTGCCCTTCTCAATAGGAGAAAGGTTATTACTTGCCGGAGAAGGTTGCAATATGCAGAATCATAGAATCAAAGGGTTAGAAGGTCACCCAGTCCAACCTAGATCTTCAAGGATGAGTAGAGTATCACCTGGGAGAGATGAAAGATGGTGTCATCGTGAGCACAGGTATCAGAGAATGGATGTATGTGGGGAAGATGAGGCACCTTGTTTGGCCAGAGTATAGAGTATGTCATGGGAAATAGTATGGGATAAGACTGGAAAGGTAGAATAATGGCAGTTTGTGGGAGGCCTAAATTCCAGGTCTTTCAGATTTTTTCTTGACTAAATTATTCTATTTGCAATTAAGTTTGGGCCTTAACTTTCTAATTAAGATGTTTAGATGACTAAAGAAGCAACAAAATCAGGTGCATGATATTATTTCTGCATCTGGAGCTAGGGACAATTCAGCAAAAGTCCCAGGGCTCTGGGATCTATAATTAATAATAAGGGGGAAGGGGAAAAAGATAATCTTCTCTATTCCCTGGTGCATACCTGTCTTGCATTTTGTTTCTCTGCCATTCAGAATCTCTCCAGAAGGCGTAGATATTGTCTTGGACTGTCTATGTGGAGAAAACACAGGAAAAGGTCTCAGTCTTCTGAAACCTCTGGGAACATATATTTTATATGGTAAGTATAGAAGATGTAAAGGGCACATCTGTGAGAAAAGGGGGAAATATCTTGAATTGTCAAGTTTAGGGTTTGGTTTGGTTTTATCAGGGGGAGGGGCAAAAGATGGGGAGGAAGGAATCTAATAATTTCCTGGGATACTCCCAATTTCAAGACAAGAAATAACAATGATATAATTTCTATGACCCTTTAAAGTAGAGAAAGTACTTGCCTCACAACAACCTTGTTAGATAGGGCAATTATTATCATCCCCAGTTTGACACATGAGGAAATGGGTGAAGTGGCTTGCCCATGGCTGTAGACCTATTGAATGATAGAAGCAGGATTCAAACCCACATCTCCCATTCCCAAATCCAGCATTGTCTTTAGCACACCACCCTGCCTTTGTATTATGTGTACTTTTAAAGAAGGTTTTGCAAAAGGGGTACACAAAAAAACCAAGACAAAACAGAAAACCATCAGACTACGTGGCCTGATTTTGACTGGGTATGAATAGATATTCGTATAAAAAAGAACATCAAGAAAACATTTTGTAATGAACAGAAGAAAACTGAAAAATATGGAAAGGGACACAAAAACATCTAACAGTTTTGTTAATATCTTATTAAACTACATGTACATATATATACATATATGTGCTTTTTGAAAATACAGCATATATAACAGAAACCCACAGTCTCTTATATAGGCCCCTTTCTTGTTTTTTATATTAAAATATTTGTGTTTGTTAGTGTTCACAATAAAAAATTAAACACATTTTACAAAAAAGAAAGTCATGGTTTTCACAAGTGAGCTGTTGTTCATATGGACAAATTCTAAGGACATAAAAGTATGTTGATTCAACCTGTTGCCCTTAAAAGTTAAATCTATTAATAGCTTCAGGATTACACAGCATGGCATGGTGGGAATGTGGTCTTGGAGGTAGAACAGAGTTTTTATCCTGGCTTTGTCACTAAATTATTGTGTGACTGTGGGGGGTGGGGGGGTCACACCCTCGCTCCTCAGGGCTTTCCTTTCCTCCTCTGTAAGATGAAGGTTTGGATGAGTTCACCTCTGTTGACAAGTCTAATTCCCTTCCAACTCTGACATTCTGTGGCTTCACATTGAGATTTGTGCAAGGGAACTGTTGGGGAGACCTTTAGTCTTTAAAGTTTATGTTTGATGTAGAACACTGGTTGAGATTGAGGGACTGGATATGAATCACTATGGAGCATTTGTAGACTCAAAAAATGACCAAGCTAAAAGAGAAATTGAAACATGGAACACAGCGTGTCAGATCTGAGAGGAACCTTAGAACACAGAGTGTGGAATGAACAGAGAATGCAACAACTAGAAAGAACCTTAGGAAATATAACCCAAAATTGAAATTGGAAGAGACCTCAAGGACATAAAACATAGAAGAGCAGAAATGGAAAAAACCTTAGAACTTAGAGCATCAAGTGACCAAGCTAGAAGGGACCTTTCAAGTCAGGACAAAGTATGTCCCAGCTGGAAGGGACCTTAGAACATGAAACGCAGAATGTTCGAGCTAGAAGGCACCTTAGCACATAGAACATACGTTCTCAGAATTCAAAGGCATCATAGAGAGCATCTGGCCCAACCCCTTCATATCACAGAACAGGAAGCGGAGGCACAGTGAGAGGGAGTTACTTTTGCCCAAGGTCACACCCCGAATTTGGGGCAGCACTAGGAGACTCCAGCCTAGGGATCTTTTTCATAGACTAGGTGAAACACTGCCTGGTTTCATTGCTGTTGGGTATAGGTGTCCTAGAAGAAATTACTTTCAACTCTTTTAGACCTCATCACCCCTATCACAAAGATCCCAGAGGTCCAGAAAGGGAGTGACCTTTCTGATGACAATGACTTCAAAAAGATTGATTCCCTTCTCCAAAGTCTGTAAGAGTCATCAGAGATAGACACGGTTGTACCTGTAATCCCAACGACTAGGAAGGCTGTGGTTCTCTTGAGCTCAGGAGTTCCAGGTTTTGGTGGGTTAAACTGTTTACATGTTTTCAGTAAGTCCAGCTTCAATACAGTGAGCCCTTGGTATCGGGACCACCAGGCTGCCTAAGAAGGCATGAACTGGTTCAAGTAGGAAACAAAGCAGATGACAATCTGTAGTGGGTAGGACTCATGATTAGCCTCTGTACTTGCAGCCTGAGTGAGATAGTTCAGATTTAAAAAAAAAAAAAAGTTAGCAGATGAGAGGTTAAATGATTTCTGGACCCATGCATGCCTTGTCCGCCTGTTCCTGAGTGTGTCATATGAAAAGGATTTCAGTAAGGCAGTCAAATGTCGTATTGAAGGGCTTACATAAGTCAGCACAAATCACTCCTAGATGTCTGTTTTTCAAAAATAACAAAAAAAAAAATTATCATGAAATGAGTCACCTTTTATTCCAGGGAAATAATTATTCCCATTTCTCTAGACCTAGCATTCTTAACCATGTGTGTCTGTGTGTCTGTCTGTCCTCTGTCTCTGTGTGTGTGTGTGTGTGTGTGTGTGTGTCATTGGCCCCTTTGGCAGTCTGGTGAAGTCTATGTACCCCTGTTCAGAATCACACTTTCAAATAATTGAAGGAAATTATAAATTTCAATTAAAGGTTAGTGAAACTACACCAAAAAAATCAGAAGTGAATGTAACAAAATAATAAAGATCAAGCATGACTTAAATGAAGAGATATAAGAAAAGAACCCAGGACAGCTAGGTGGTGCAGTGAATAGACCACCGGCCCTGAAGTCAGAAGCACCTGAGTTCAAATCTGGCCTCAGACCAAACACTTGACACTTACTAGCTGAGTGACCCTGGGCAAGTCACTTAACCTCAATTGCCTGAAAGTAAAAAAATAAAAAAAGAAAAGAAAAGAACCCCAATTCACCACTTTGTTAGAGGTAGGAGGCCCACAGCTACTACCACATACATGTTTTTGGACTTTTTCAGCATATTAATCAGTTGTGCTGATTTTTTTCCCCATCTTTAAAAACTACTGTGTGTTATATGGGATGGCTCTCTAGGAAGAGAAGGGGGAAGGTTGCTGGGGATAACTGTGATGATGTAAGAAACAGAAGACATTAAGTTAAAAAAGAAAACCTTTTTAAAAAAGTAATTCAAACCCCCTCCTTTAAAAAAATAAAAAAGGTTAGTAAAAATAAAGATGCAATCTTTTCCCCATCCAGGTTCATAGTTGCACTGAAATCTATCTTTGGGTGGGGTGAGGGATATCTATGGACCCCAGGTTAAGCACCTCTCATCTAGATCTTTAAGATTTACAAAGTGTTTTTCTTATACTCTGTGAGGTAGGAAGTCAAGGTAACAAGCATTTACTAAGCACCTCCTGTATGCCATGTGCTGATTTACACACCAGGAATACAAAGAAAGGCAAAATAACAGGCCCTGCTCTTAAGGAGCCCACAGTCTAATGGGGAAGACTATGCAAACAGCTGAATGCAAAGAAGATACATCGAACGTGAACTGGAGATAGTCTCAGTGAGAAGGCTCGAAGATTAAGGAGGGCTGGGAAGAGCCTCTTGCAGAGGTAGATTGTAGCTAAGATTTGAAGCTTCCTTCCAGGAAGCCAAGAGGTAGAGAAAGAGACCATTGACAATGCGTAGAGCCGGGAGACAAGGTGGCATGTATGAGGAACAGAAAGGAGGCTGGTGTCAAGTCAGTAACAGTCTCCATTTTACTGAGAACCGAGGAGAGGACAGGGAGTGACAGCCTCAATCTCAACTAATCGGTAGCAGAGCTGGGACCAAAACTAAGGTCCCCAGGCTGCATTCGGTGCCTTCCTTCTCTGCTGTCCTCGGATACCTTGCTCAGTGATAACTAGCAGATGAGTGGTTGGACGGGGCCTCAGAGGCCATCTAACCTAACCAAGAGACCATCCTGCCTAAGCAAGAATCTGTTTACAGCCTCCCTGAGAAATGGCCATGCAGATGCCAGTGGCAGGCCCCAAAGGTGGAGAAAATGCACTTCCACCTGAGTGAGGGTATCTGTACTGTCTTTGGATAATTCCAATTGTTAGGAGGCCTTTTCTTATGTCAAGCCTAGATCTGCTTCTCCTCAGCTTCCACCCATTGCTCCTGTTCCTGATCACACAAAACAAGTCTAGCCCCTCTACCACCTGACAGCCTCTGTGGTCTCTCTGAGCCTTCTTTTCTCTCTAAGCCAAGTTGTTTGCTTGTTTGTCTGTTTTCCACTGCTGCTCATTCATTGCGGCCTCCAGTCACTTCAATTCTTTTGTTCCTCTCAGTTTCCCCCCTTCCTTTCCAAGGACCTTAAGAGTTACGATGACAACCCTTTCATTTGGGGCAAATAGCAATGCTTTTGCTTCCCAAAGAATTTGTTTCCTAGGATCTGGGGCTTGAAGGGGTCATAGAGATCATCCAGGCTGATAGATGAGGAAACTGAAGAAAAAAACAGGAGAAGCAACTTGCCCCAGGCTTTCAGTATTCTTGTCACTGCATGACTGTGCCATTTTTCTTCTCAGTGGCTCATGTCCCATGTCCTTTCTTCACAGGGTCATCAAACACCGTGACAGGGGAGACCAAGAGCTTCTTCAGCTTTGCAAAATCAGTGAGTATTTGTAGAAATGTGACACGCATCCCACGTTGCTGTAATGGGCTGGGGGGGGAGGGGGGGTTTCCTTCCTAGCCAAGCTGGCTCCAGCTGGAGATCTGCAGGTGATAAGAGGAACCAAAAGCCATTTAGCAGAAGAGCCCTTGGGAAAGTCCGCAGGCCCAAGCATATGTTAAGCCTCTTGGAGGGAACCCATGTTAGTGTCAGAGGATGGTCTGGAAATACTCTGGTTAGAAAAAGGCGATCTACTTCTGAAATGTCAGAGAGGGGACTTGGATATGGGGAGGGAGTCTAAGAATGTGCAGAGGATACTGTGTTGAGAAATGCAAGCCCAAGTCCACTTCTTGGTGGGCAGAGTGCAGAGATGGGATCAGAAACTGGGAAGGGAGCAAACATTTATTAAGTGATTGCTGTGTGCCAGGCAATGTTATAAGTGCTTTACAAATTATGATCCTCATTTTTCAGATAAGGAAACTGAGTCAGATAGAGGTTAACTGACTTATGCAGGGTCATACAGCTATGAAGTGTCTGAGGCTGCCCTGAAATAATAATAACTAACATTTATATAGTGCTTACTGTGTGCCAGGCCCTATGCCAAGCGCTTTACAATTATTCTCTCATTTGACCTTCACAACAATCCTGGGAGGTAGGTTCTATTATTTCCCCCATTTTATAGATGGGGAAACTGAGACAAACAGAAGTTAGGTGACTTAGCCAGGGTTACACAGCTAGTCAGTGTCTGAAGCTGGATTTGAACTCAAATCTTCTTGACTCTAGGCCCAACACAAGTGGCACAGCAAATCGAATGCTAGGAGAAGTAATACAGGTGATGATAGAAGGTTGTGTAAGTACAGATATATAGGTACCAGACATCCTGTCAATTTCTTCTGAAGTTATTCATCCTAGCAACGTGTTTGGTTTTCACCCGTAGAATTAGGCTGAATTTTTAAAAGCCTGAGGGAGCAGAACAATGACTATAAAAATGAATTTACTAGCAGCAGTTTTCTTCTGGTGTGGTAGATGGGGCAAAAATGCAAGAAATGCTCAATTTAATTTAACCAGAGATTGCTTGTGTATTAGGCCTGTTGCCATCTACCGAGAACCTTTATAGAATTTGAATGTTCTAGCTAGAATCTCAGCGTCTGTGTGGTGTCTCAGAAGGCATTTCGTCTACGCTGTATCTGAACAGGAATCTTTTCTAGAACATTCCCCAGAAGGAGTCTTTCAGCCTTGGAATAAGAACCTTTAGTGATGGGGATGTTATTACCTCCCAAGGCTCATCCCATTGCTGATAGCTGTAATTATTAGTAGTTTCTTATGTCTGAAATCTGTGTGTCTGTAACTTCCACTCACTTCTCCTAGCTCTTATCAGGAGCCAGACTGAACGAGTCTCGTATCTCTGTGATGACAGCTTTTCAGACACTTGAAGATGGCTAACGTGTCTCCAGATAATTCAACAAGCATTTGTTATTATGCGCCTACTGCTAGGTCCTGGGCAGCTAGGTGGTGCAGTGGATGGAGCAGGAAGACTCATCTTTGTGAGTCCAAACCCTAGCTGTGTGACCCTGGGCAGTCACTTAACCCTGTTTGCCCCAGTTTCCTCATCTGTAAAATGAGCGGGAGAAAGAATGGCAAACCACTCCAGTATCTTTGCCAAAAGAAAACAAAAAACCAAAAAAAACCCCAAAATGTGATTACAAAGAGTTGGATATGACTGAAAAGACCCAACAACAACACTGTTATGTCCAAGGCACTGTGTTAAGGCTTCCCTTCTGTAGTCGTCTTAGTGGCACAATGGATAGAACACTGGAACTGGAATCAGGAAGACCTGAGTTCAAATCTAGCTTCAGACAGTTACTACCTGTGTGACTCTGGGCAAATCACTTAATCTCTGCTTCAGTTTTCCCAACTGTAACATGGGGATAATAATAGCACCTTGCAGGGTTGTTGTGAGGATCAAATGAGGTCATATTTGTAAAATGCTTAGCACAGTGTCTGGCACACGGTAGGTGCTTAATAAATGCTTCTTCCCTTTTCTTAAGCTTCCCCCAAGTTCCTTCCACTGAACCTTTTGTCAAGACATGATCTCCAATGTCCTTTTGAAGTGCTCTGGGTTCTCCATGTTTCTCTTAAAATGTGTCGTGCAAAGCCACATACAACACTGCGGATGACATCTCACCAGAGCAGAGTGTAGCAGGACAAGAGATTCTCTCCTTCCATAGCTCTGCTCTCGTCTGTCTTGTGTCTCTCGTGCCCCTGTAGAAGGGACATCATCATTAGGGACCTCATTTGTTTGTTGAGCTGAATTCATGAAGTGTCACAAAGTGTCATTAATTGAATTCATTAAGTAATTGTCATTATTAAGAAGGATTAGACTGGTTCTTCTTGGCCTTAAAAAGCAGAAGGTAGAAGTTACAATGAGACACCTTTTGGTTCAATGTCAGGAAGAACTTCCTAATAATTAGAGCTGTCCAACCCTGGCTGGGCCACCTTGGGAGGTAGTGAGGTCCTCAGCTCTGGACACCTTCTAGGAGAGCCTGGGTAACCACTCATAGGAGATGTTGTAGAAGGAATCTCATCTCCAGTATGGCTTAGTTGGCCTCACCATTTCTGTTCAGCTTTAGGATTCAGAGATTCTAACTCTAGATGAGAAGAAGAATTAATATCTGTCAATTGGCAAAATTCAGAATATGGGATAACCATTGCCAGGAAGATTGTAATTTTCCTAATGTCATTCCATTATATCATCATGCTCAGAAATGCAGTTAACCTGAAGTTCCAGTCAAGTAAGAATCAATTTGTATTAACCTGTGTGCCTCATGCTTAAACTGATAGAATGTCAGAGTCAAGGCTCCCGATAGAAGTTAGGATATAGGATGTCAAAAGAGAAGGCAACAAATATTTGTTAAGGGCCTACTGTATACCCAGCGCTGTGCTAAGTGCTTTACAAATATTTTCTCCTTTGATCTTCCCAACAACATTGGGAGGTATCGGTACTATTATGATCTGCTATGCCATTTATGCTGGACCTGGTGTCATGAAGACCCGAATTCAAATCCAGCCTCAAAAAATGACTAGCTGTATGACACTGGACAAGTCACCTAACCTCTGTCTGCTTCAGTTTCCTTGTCTATAAAATGGGGGTAATAATAATACTTACCTCCCAGGGTTGTTGTGAGGATCAAATGAGATAGTAATTGTAAAGTGCTTCACACAGTGCCAGGCACACAGTAGGCACTATATAAATGGTAGCTATTATTTTTCTTCTTCTTCTTCAAATGCAGCCTCAGATGCTTGCTAGCTGTATGGTCCTGGGCAAGTCAGGTCACATAAACTCAGTTTCCTTCCTTATCTGTAAAACGGAGATCATAATAGCACGTATCTCCCAGGGTTGTTATGAGGATCAAACACAGAACATGGAATGTCAGAGCTGGAAGGGAGCCTTGGGTCCTGTCTAGTCCAACTTCCTCATTTTGTGGCGGAAGAGACTGGTTTCTTCCAGTTCCAAATTCCATGGTCTGTGGTACCACCATCTCCTCTACTCACTATCTAATTGAAACCACTTCATGTAATCTTCCTTGCCCTTCTGAGATAGACATTAAAGGTTTCTTTCCTCTTGAGCTTTAATATCTGGGAGGAGAATTATTTCATCGCAGAAAAAAAATGAAAAGACAAGATGCCTGTGTGAGCATTTCTCTTGATGACTGGTTTCAGAACAAGAATAGCTATTTTTATGTTGCTGTAATTAACTCAATGCTGACAGATTGCTGTGGGTAAGCAAATTGGTCCCAAATTACATTCACTTGTACAAAGTGTTTTCCCTTTTCTCCCCTAAATACAGGCTCCCATAAGCACAATGTTAACACAATAATTGCATTGTGTACATGTTTGACTGAAGCATTCAGAAAAACAAGGGCCCCTGTTGGAAACTGCATATGGTGTGAAGAGTGGGACTGAGTCCTTTTGGCAGCAGCAGCAGGCTGAATAACCATGCCAATGGCAGTATATGCTTATGAGTGGCCTTCAAACATGGTGGAGTGTAAAGAATTCTGGAATGGAGGTCAGAGGATCTGATTTCAGATCCTTTTTCTTCCACTTTCTATCTCTTGACCTCATCTGAGTCATTGAACTTCACCATTCATCAATCAGTTTCTACATCTCCAATTATGAATTGGTCAGATGATCTCTAAAGACTCTTTAAGTGCTAAGTCAAGGGACAGATGAGAGCTCCATAGGGACCTGATTTCAGCTGTTTCAAGAAAGGCTCAAGTATGAAAAACCATGACCTCCCATTGCATGTTAGGCCTAGAAAAGGCCTTAGAACACAAAAGCTCAAAGCTACAAAGGCCCTTAAAATGTAGCTTGTTAAGTCTGTAATATACCTTAGAGCTCATCTTCAATTTGCTCATTTTTCAGAGGTGGAAATTGATGCCAGAAAGGGAAGATGCTTTGCCCAAAGTCCCACAGCACTTTACACACTTGAAGACAACATATAAATGTCAGTGATATCATTATCATTATTTTTATTGTGGAGGCGTTACTAATGGAAGGATTAAATCTCAAGTGGCCAAAGTTTTAGAGTTTGGTGGCACCCTCTCTTCCTCTGTCATGGGCACATAGCTTTGACTGTTTTTTTCTGTTCCCCATTTCTTCTAATGTTCTTGTCACTTCTATCCGCAGTGGTGGCAGGTCGAGAAGGTGAATCCCATTAAGCTGTATGAGGAGAACAAAGTCATTGCTGGATTTTCGCTCCTCAATCTCCTTTTCAAACAGGGCAGAGGAGGCCTGATTAAAGGTATAATGGACAAACTCATAGCCCTGTACAACGAGAAGAAGATCAAACCCATGGTTGACTCATTATGGGCTCTGGAAGAGGTAAGACTCTTGCTTTTCTGATAACCAACACTGACGTTTTAGCATGGTATTTGAAAGAAAGAGATCAGTGATCCCCTTTCCTAGCCTTTTAAGGTTCTTGTTAGCCAACAGCACAATATAGTACAAAGAATCCAGGATTTGGGGTCAGGGGAGTTAGATTCAAATCTCAGGTCTGCCATTTGCTATCTGTATGACCTTAGACAAGTCATTTAGTGTCTTTAGCCCTCAGTAAAATGATTAAAGTAGAGTAATAATCCTCAGGTAGGGTCTGGAGACCCTGGGGATTCGAAAGACCCTCTCTGGGGTTCTGTGGAGGCATTTACTTTTTACATAATAATGCTGTTGTTTTAATTGATAATGCAGTAGGCATTGATAGATATAACCCATGTAAGCAAAAGCTCTGCCTTCAATCGTTTTTAAGCCTGTAAAGGGGTCCTGATGCCAAAAAGTTTTAGAATTGCTAAACTAGAGATTTCTAAGGTTTCTTCCTGCTCTAAACTGGAGCTCCTGTTAACTAAGTTAGTTCTTGCATTAGAATCAATCCTGTTTTCAAGTCCTGGCTCTATCACTTCCTTGGAATATGACTTTGAGCAAATTTCGTCTCTTCAATTCTATTTCTTCATTCATTAAATGTAGGGTGGGGGGTGGGGTGGGAGGTAATACTGAATTCACTTCCCTCCTGGTGGGTTGTGGTGAAAAAGCCTTGTTACCTGAAAGCATCAAGGGATATGAGTCACGATGATCTTTTAGATGAGATAAATGTGTAATTTCTGTAAAATGAAGGATGGAACTCATAGGCTGGCACTGATAGGGCTTATTAAGAGGAGGAGCTTTGGTCACAGGAACCATTTACAAAGTGTTCTTTTTTATTTTGAGCTGAACCAGCACCAACAAATATGAACATTTTGATATCCAAAGAAGAAGAAAAAGATAGTCTATGCAACTGTGAATTTCTCTTATGTCCAGTTTGTTCAAGTGTATATTAAATTGAACATCATAGTACCACAACTGCCCTGCTTGTCTGGATCCCCTTTTGAACTTAAAAAAACCATTTCTAGACAAAGTAGACCCAGTTCTCTTTGCTGTCTCCAAAGGAGAGCTTTGTGTTGATCAATTTTTAGAGTGGGAAGGAACCTCAGACCATCCAGTACAATTCCCTCCTTTTATAAAGCTCAGAGAGGACGAGAACTTGCTCGGGGTCACACAGCACATAAGTAGTACAGCCAGGACTGGGCCCCAGCCATTCTCTTAATTTCAAGCCCACTGGTTTTTCCCCTGCACTGAAAGACCCTGAGTGTGGATCTTGAAGGAAGAGAAAGGCTGGTGGTCAGTAAGAATGCACAGAGGTGAAGTGGGCTTGAATGAGACTGAGGAGCACCAGGAGTCCTGTTCATCCGGAATCCACAGCATGGGGCAGAAAGGTGTAGGAAATAAAACAAAAATGTCCTGATTCCACACAGCAAAAGCATGGAAGAACTGGATGGGTCTGTGAGACAGGTAGAGGGCTAGTGCTGCCTCCTGGCACCAGGTTTACAGAGGTGACCCAGATGTATCTTTAGCAAAGATGAACTTTCATTTTTTCATTTCATTTTTTCATTTCACTGAAATGAACCAAACCCACCTGTGTAGCTAACAGTGCATTATTGCCAAAGACTTGGTATAGCTGGCATTAAAATGTCATTGAATACACGTATGACAGGAAAGAAAGCATCCTAGGGGCAGCTGGGTGGCGAGTTGGATAGAGCACTGGCCCTGGAGTCAGGAGGACATGAGTTCAAATGTGGCCTCAGACACTTGACCTTTACTAGCTGTGTGACCCTGGGCAAGTCATTTAACCCCATTGCCTAGCCAAAAAAAAAAAAGGGAAAGAAGCATCCAGGTCCTATGGTAGAGCAAGGCGTGATGGGCAGAGGGCCCTGGGCTGGGCTGGTAGCCCTCAAATATTGGAACAACCACAGGACAACCTCTGTGTGCTAGCCAGGGTAGGGGGGATCCTCTCGGCAGTTTTGTAGGAAAACATGGACAAGACTCGCTGACCCAATTCCATTCAAACATTTATTAAGCGTCTCTAAGTGCACAGTCCTGTTCTGGGGGGACACACGTTTAAATAAGGCACAGTCTTTGCCCTCATGGAGGTTGTTGCTAGGTAGTGCAATGGATAGAGCAAGATTGGAGTCAGGAAGACCTTAGTTCAAAGCCAATAGCAGACATTTGATAACTGTGTGACATTGGGCAAGTTATTTAACCTCTGGTTTACCTCAGTTTCCTCCTCTGCGAAATGGGCTAATAATAGCACCTACTTCACAAGGTTGTTGTAAGGATCAAATGTGATAATTGTAAAGCACTTTAGCACAGTGCCTGACACATAGTAAGAGCTATATAAATGTTAGCTATTATTCTTATTAGTAGTAGTAGACAGACAAAACATAAATACTGATGATATGGAATAATTCATAAATGTATCAAAGAGTTGCAAGCACAGTGCTGTGTCAATTCTGAAGGGGATTTTTTTTTTTGATGTCTGAGAGAGGATCAAAAGGGAGGAGTCATGAAATAGGTGATAATAGAATTGGGTTGGAAAAAATGGGCAGGAATTTAACAGGTGGCAAGGAGAAGATGGCTTGTTTTAAGTATTTGTGGACATCCAGTTTTGTCAGGGTGTGGAACTTCTGTGTGAGCAATCCTTCCACTGACATAGATAGCAGCCCTTTCATCCTGGAGAGATGTTTAAGGGAAATGACACTCTCCAGTGTCATTCAGCTACTAATTATCAGAAGAAGGATGTGGCAGCCACTCCTTCTACCTTTAACTCTAGGGTCTTCTTCCTTATGTTTACAGAGCAAAAGCAGATATGGAAGATCTTTAGACAGGTTCAGGGAACATGTTGGTCAGAAGGTAGAGTATAAGAACATCAGTATATGGGAAAAGGCTGAAAAGGAAGTTTCTAGAATGTGGAGTTCTGACTGCTAGGCTAAGGATTTCAAACTTTATCCAGTAGACAATAAAGAGCTATTGAAGGATTTTGAGCAGAGAAGGGATAAGCATGTGTACATCTGTGCAGAAAGAAGAATCTGTCTTTAATGAATGATGAAAAGGACAGTAAGAAATGAGGGTCTGGGAGAAGGAATGCATCCTTGGTCTGTAGAGGGAATGTCACACAAAGAAAATCATGGAGCCACCAAAGAAAAATACTCTAAAATCATTCACAATTTTTTACTTAACAATGAAGAAGACTCTGGCCCAGTTCTAAAATCGGGTGACGCAGTATGGTATAATGGATAGAGCAAAAACCTTGGAATCAGAAAGACCTGGGTTCATACCCCCTCCAGATGGTTACTGTGTGACTTTGAACAAGTCAGTTAATCTCAGCCTCATTTTACTCATTAGTAAAATGGGAGTCATACTAGTCCCTTACAAGGTTGTTGTGAAAATCGAATGAAATATTGTATGAAAAACACTTTGAAAATCCTAAAATGCTATAAAATGCCAGCTATTATTATTATTATTTGAAAGAGAAATTCTGAATTAACAGCAACATCCCAGAAGGACTAGTCTTCCAGGGTCAGGATGACTGGCAGCATCCACACCTTTATCTACTAACCAGTGTTTCTGATGTCACGTGTCAGTGACCTCTTTAATTTCTGGCAGTATGGGCAAATATCCATTCAATGTTGCAGTTGGATCAGACTTAGTAACGTACGTGTTCAGGGCCACTGTTGGGCCAGACACAGTGAGTCATCAAGCCCACACAATTTCCTAGTGCCAGAAGACAGTTTGCAATACTTAGTACTTACTTTCTAACTGCTGAAGGAAAATGATGATTCTCTCCCCCAAGAAATTGCTTTGGAAGCCAACTTTATGCAAGAAATATAAAGCCCTGAGAGATTGAAAGAAAAAATGTCTCTACTTTACTTGGGCTGTAACTGGTTGTGATAATAACATCAGACACCATTAGAGGTTCTTTTTGGCCCTTGAGCTCTACGTTTATTATGAATTGTAAGGAATTGTGCTTCGCGTGATTAGTCCTGATAAGTTGTCTGGCTCGGAAGATTCCAACTTGGCCTTCTTGCTGCTTTTGTTCTCATTCCCCCCTGCTAACTATAAACTCCACGGAGAGAGGGACCACGTCTTTGCACAACTTTGTATTTCCCAAGTGTCAAATACATATTTATTGAATGTGTGGATTTCATAACACTGATAAGATTGTACAGAGTGCTTTAATATACCTTGCTTACCAAAGTATTTTAAAAAGACTTGAAAAAGACATGATAGGGGCAGGTAGGTGGTACAGTGGATAGAGCACTGACCCTGGAGTCAAGAGGACCTGAGTTCAAATGTGACCTCAGAGACATAACACTCACTAGCTGTGTGACTCTGGGCAAGTCACTTAACCCCAATTGCCTCACCAAAAAAAGATATAACAGAGGTCTTCCAGTATGTGAATGGATGTCGTATGGAGAAAGGATCAAACTTTTTCTTCTTGGCCCCAGTGGCTCAATGTGAAACAGGAGGAGCTTGCTGGTTGGGTACCTCCAGTGATCCATTCTGGCCTTGTGCTAATGAATACTTTTTTTTTTTTTATAACTGAGATGAAGATATAAATGGCAAACTTCTCAAATTTGTCAACGACTCAAAGCCAGAATCCAAAAGGATCTTAACAGTCTAAAAAGATTGGCCTGATCCAATAAGAGATATTTAACATAAGTAAATGTGAAGGCCTACACTTTGGTTCAAGAAATCAACTTTATAAGTACAAAATGAGGGAGTTGTGTCTAGACAAATGGAAAGAACATAGGGGTTAAACAGTCAACAAGTCTATCATTCAACGAGAGTTTATTAAGTGATTACTGTGAGTTGGGCACCTTGTTTAGTGGATATTTATAATAAAGATGATGGTGATGATGATAACTGACATTCATATAGAGCCTACTATGTGCCAGGCACTGTGCTAAGTGTTTTACTAATGCTATCTCATTTGATCCTAACAAAACAACCTTGAA